CCCTTCAAAATTGGAAACAAAAATTTTAAGTCAATATTAGCAATGCTGTTGCTACTCCCTGACATTTATTTTGAAACATTGGATCTTATTTTTTTCCTAGTATAGGATCGTCATTTCTTTTCATCTCTTTCATGTATCTTTTAATTAGATAAGTGGTATTTGGGTACTCATGTTGAAGGTATAAGGTATGGTTGTTGATGGTAACCTACAACAATTATAACACTGTGAATTCAATTCAGTTATTAGGGCTTCCATTAGTGTTAATAATGTTGTTGTTGTTATCGTAACAGTTAACACTGAGCACTTACTAGGTACAAGGTACTTTTCTAAATACTTAGTTTTTCATTAATTCATTAAATTCTCACAACAACCTATCTTGATCAATTGCACCGTTTTGTGTTTTTTGCTAGTTTCTGATGTTCTGGAATCAGTTACACTTAGCACTGAGTCATCAAAGGAGACTATAGGTAAAAATGTTCCCCAATTGGAAGTCAGACTTGTGTGCTTTTCCATCTCACTGCAAAAGTCATCTTTCAGTGTCCTCACGCTTTGTGACATTTCATAGCCACCTGCTGCTTCTCATGTCTTGTCTGTGCTCATCCACAAGTGGGTCTTAAGGGTTATTATATATGGCATGTTGTGCTAGTGTCTGTTGTATTGCTATGAAAGTTTCATAATTTCCTTATTTAGTTTCCTTTTACTCTGAATGAAAAATTTCATTTTTTAATTATTTTTTCACTATGAATATGTACATATATGCACATTCTATTTTTCATTTTCGTATTATTTTTAGGATTCATCCCTCTGCTTTCTTTCTAAGGATTCACTCTATACCTTTTTTTTTTTTTTAACTAGAATCCTTATACAAAAATATGTAAGGAAGCAAACTTTATCTGCTTTGCTTCAGGTAGAAATTGCCTTAGACTCTGCCAGCTGTTGGGGGGAGAAAAGGGATTTCCATACAGCACACTGCCTTCATTTCCTGCCTTCACTTCTGCCCTCCGAACTTGTAGCCATCTTCATAATCTACCTAAATGTTAATTATTCTCAAGAATGTATCTGCTTAAGATAGCTAACGTCTGTTTTCAAGCTAAACACAGGGTTTCGTTATGGTGCACTTTGGGCTGCCCATCACTAACCAGCCATTCCCTGTTTCTTCTCTAGCACCAGCTGAAACAGATTATGTATATCCCACTGCCAAAGCACCACTCAGGCCAGAGGAGCCAAAGACTGATGGTGGTAAATGTTCTCGTGCTTTGATTCATTTATTCAATATATTTTTAATTAGCATCCATTGTGTCCATGGAAGTTGAAGCTGTGGTACTGGATCTACAATTGAACAGATTTGAAGAGCTATAGCTTCCAATGTTCTTGGATCCTTTGCAGTAATAATTGACTCTATATACAGAAATAAATTGCTGTTTCTTTGCTAGTATCTTAAGTTTGAGGCATAATAACATTTGAAAGCTAGTTAATAATAGCTAAAACATAAATGTTAGTTGGAAGATTAGTATTATAGAATAAAATTTTCCTCTGATTTTTTTCTTTCTTGTTTAAACCCATTGTCCTATCTTTAAAATTGTGATGCAAATTTTTAAGAGAATGACGTGTGTTCATATTCAAGAACTATAGCTTGATGTCTTACAGTTTTTAAAATGGTTCTCCTTTGATACAGCTGTGGAATCTGTTACATATGTGCCTGAACCACCTGAGACCACGCTAGGTAATAGCGCAACCTCAGCAGCTCAACTGTGTGTGCTTGCTGTTTTCACTGCCACCGTCACCTAAGAGCCGCAGGGTCTCTCTCACTGTAAATTCATGTCACACCATCATTCTTTGTCACGGGAGTTAATTTTCTTTCTAAGTGCTCCTTTCTGTAGCCATTGTCCCAAAATGTCTCTTCTCCTATTTAGTTTTGTGCCAAGACCTTAGTCTTATTCTCTACTTAAGTCAGCAAAATGTTGACTCTAACACATCTTTTTTCCTAACATTGAACATTCTGCCAGCTTGGCATTGTGCTGAATGTTTCAGATAATGCTTTCTTTGTGTGGTGATCCATTTACACTTTCTGACCTACATCATACTTTTCATTAGCACTCATCCCATCACATTCACTTGTGTTTGTTTGTTTTCTCCATTATTTAAATGAAATTCAAATGCTTCTTAACTGGCTCATCATGTAACATTTTTTAAAATTACTTTTTTCCTTTGTGATTCCTATTGAATATATCTTTCTAGCATTGTTAAGGAGGTAGGTTCCTAGTGTGGAGTGAAGATTTCATAAATATTTTGTAACCTGGCATCTCTAAGCATTTTAAAAACTAAGCACATTATGAAGTTGGAATGCTGTTTTGCTGCAGACTTAGAATTTTCTTTATTTTTTTAAGTCTATTTGTTACCATCCTATTTGTCATCTGTACTCAAGGTGTGTCAAGCACTATAGTAACCCTGCATACTTTCCTTCAATTACCATAGAAACGTCACCTCTGCCTTCTCAAACTATTATCCTACCCAGCCCAGATGAGCCTCAGACTGAACCCGGTAAATACATTATTTTGTATTTCATTTAAGAGGTGAGTGTTTGCAGAATGACAATATGGTCACGTCTAGACATCAGAAGACCTGACTTCATCACTTTGCTCACAGTCTTTGCTAGGTGATCTTACCTGTCAGATGTCCCACTCTCCATCCACCATTAATAACAACTCAAATGGCAGCGTTGTGAATATTCTTTAGGGTGTGGCTGAAAAAAACCTTTCAGCTAGTCTGCAAGTGTTTAATTCAGGAAGTAGAAATGTTTCTGGGGAAGATTGTTTATATACATTAAAATATATGTCTACTGTAATTTTAATTACTTTATCACCTCAACTAGTTTTATAAGTTTTGTGGTCATGTAAAAAGTATTTTAAGATATCTAATTTGTGTTTGTGATTAAAAGAAACCTCCAGAGACAGGTGGCACTGTACAATCCGCATGAACAGACACAACTGGCTAGTCGTCTTGTCACTATTCAGGTGCCTTACTTCTTTCCATTCCTTCCTACAGTGGTTTGGCCATTTCACTGTATACAAAAGGAAAAACTGAAATCAAACCAATCACTTTGGCTAATCATAAAGCTTTACTTGATGGTGGAGTAGGAAATGAATAAAGACAAATTATCAGCATGGGTAACTAAATGTGCCTCTTCTTACAAGAAAAAATTCTCTCAATACCTAGAGGTTTTCATAGGATGGAAATTTATCATAAATAAGCCCAAACTTATGTTTTGATTGCCATTAAACTATTTTATACAGCCCTATTTCCAAGGGAGATATGGATACTAATTTTATTCATTGTCCTCTGAAATATTCTATTAAACATTGCCTATAACCTCTACAGTTTAATTTTTACCAAAATCTTAGATTGACTACATTAATGGAATCTATATAAGTTACATCTAATTTTTCCAAAGTTTTGTTTTTAATAACCATAATAAACATTACTGAAATGTCTAATTGTAAATACTATTATTAATGATTCTTACCTCATTCTATATAATTTTTCTTCCTTTCGTTTTTGACAGCTGGCAGGTATGGAGGTCTGAACCCTTAACTTCGATTCTCGTTCTGTATCAATTTTCATGGAATTGCTTCCTGACATCACTATACCTTCAGATGGTCTTTTTATACCTTAGAGGAAGCAAATAGCATTTAAGTTGGAATCTCAGCAAGTGGAAAATCAGAAAAATCACAAGACTATAAGAAACTCTAGAGTCATAGAATTTTATGATTAAAAGGTTTTTTAAAATCATGTAACTTTTGATGAAGAAGTTGAGACTGTAGACCAATGATTACCAAAGAGAGCTCTAAACCCCCTGCCTTCAGGCTCCTAAATCGGTGCATTCTCCAGCATATCTTGGTGTTCATATCTCTACAGGCAGGAAGAGTCCGCTGAAACTATTGTATGCCTTAAATATTTTGATTTAATATCAGGAAGAAGCCTCTGCAAACTCCTTCAGAAACTTCTAGTGTCTAATAACTATTGTTTCCAGCAAGCATTTCTTAAGGTGTCTGAAACTGCATCACACTGATACCATTTTGTTTCTTTTTATATTTCTTTATCCCAAATACACTTTAGTTCAAACAAATAAGTTGTTTCCACAAGCTGCAACATTGCATCTGATAATTCCTTTCCTTCAGCAGTATATACTTTCAATTTTCTTAGTGAAAAACAGTTGGTTTTTACACTGAATGTCCTAGAACTACTTTAGGAATTATCCAGCAAAAGGAATAACTCTCCAGTAAAAAGTGTCCCAGGTGTTCAATTTCTCTTCCCCAATATAACCTGTAAAAATTGTGTTTTGTTTAGTAAGATAAGCTTTTTCCATTAGCACTTTCTATTAAAATGCATTCTAAGTTTGGAATATAACATGGTAACTTTGTTTTTATTTAGAAAAAAAGTGTATGTGTTTACATTTAGAATAGCACACCTGGACAGTCTGATAAAATGATGTGAACTTGTGATAAGAATGAATTCCTGTTACTATGAAATGTATTTTCAATCTATTTAAAAGGTATTTGACGTAGATTTTTCTGAAAGTCCAACAGTTTCATTTTGCCAGCTGAATATCTTGATGTCTTTTAATGTGCCTTTTTGTTTCTGAAGATAAAAAATTATCTTCCTATACCTTTCAGATCTTTAGGAGCTTTAATTGCAATATTTGCTATGTATTAGGTCTTCGGTCACTCAGCAAACATCTTTGAGCTCCGAGAGGCTTACGTTCTGTGGTTCTTGAAGAGCTCAAGAACTCCAAACCTATATCCTTTCTTTTAGCTCCCAAGCAGACACCGCATGTGCCTCCCAAGCCAAAGACATCACCACGCCCAAGAATCCCACAAACACAACCAGGTAAATTATATGTTTTATATTTTAGATTGAAAAGTTTGAGGTTACTGGGGTTAGTTATTCTGTTGAGTTATAGCAAGTTGTGTTTTTAACCCTTGTAAAACAAGTTTTCCTCTGTAACCTAATAAATATTTATTTTTAGACTTTATCGAAAAGTGCATCATTGGACTAGCTTACTCCACAAAGCTTCCCTAATGTGATATTTAAGATGGGACAGACAAGAATGGCATTTCTTAGAAAAAGTAGCCTGTCTACTCCCTTCTCCTCTCCCAGTTTAACATTATATTCCTATCTATTCCACTATCCCTGAATGTGCTTCTCTGTGCCAGTCACCTAATTTAAAATTTGTCATTAATACGTGGCCTGTTTACACAAAATATCTGAGGTACACCTACCCAGTATACAAGGAAAGGAACCTGCACTACCACTGATAGTCTGGGGAAAGGAAACTATTTAGCACCATCAAAATTACGCTTGACCCAGGTAGTAATTCTGGACTCTCACCACAAATACTTGAATCATATCTCAGAATCTCTCCTGGGGGAAAAAAACCCTGTGGTTTTAGATACGGTCTCCAGCATATGATTCTGAGAGAAATTTTATACATTTTTTTTCTTTAAAGGAAACTTCCTTAAAAGACTATTTTATCTTCCACATCTAAGGATTTTAAATCTGCCTTAGTGCATTTTTTAATCTGTTGTAATTAATTACTAAAACTTTGCTATGAAAATAATATATTCTGACACATAAATATATGAAGGTCCCAAGGCAACATTCCTAGAAAGAATAAGAAATTTTAAATCATAACAATAAATACATTTGAAACAATAATAAAAAATAACTAATGATTAGTGAATAACTAAGAATAGGGATAAAATATATCAAAATTTTAATAGAATAAGGATAAAAATATGTTGAAATTTTTTAAAAAACAGTTGTTAAATAAATACATCAAGATATTAAATTCGTTGACAGGAATCTAAAATTTACCTTTAAAAATCAGCAGATGAAATTATATATGAAGAATCTCTCAACTTTTTATTTGAATATAAAGCATAGAACAAGAATATAAGAGAAAAGAGAAATGGAAAGAAATTTAAAAATTATAAAAACTTGATGAATGTTATAAAATAAGAGAAAAGATGAAAAGTAAGAAATACCAGGAGTTAAGACATTTAGGCTATAAATTCCTGGTTAATAAAACTTTTTTAAAGTAAGGAAATATGAAGTAATAGCAAAATTTTATTTATAATTTTATCTTTTTGAGCTGTACTTTGTACTTATAAAAATGCAGTATAGCAAATCAGGAGTCTACTCTAATTTCTTTTTTTTTTTTTTTGTCTTTTTTTTTCCGTGTCCGGCAACGGATCGCAACCCTCAGTGTTGCCCCCGTACCGGACCGGGGACCGGCAACGGGATTGCAACCCTCGGTGTTGCCCCCGCGCCTCGCTCAGCCAGTGAGCGGGAACCGGTCTGTATGTGGGATCCGAACCCTCGGGCGGGAGCGCCGCCGCGCTTCCCAAGCGGCACACTATCCAGTGCACCACCGGGCCGGCCCTCTAATTTCTCATTATTGTATTCTCTTCTGAGTTTCAAATGTGTTTAATTTTGATTTAGACCTTTGGCCACTCTTTCTTGACAAGATGTGCAACTTCAGAATGGATAGATTGATGTGCTGAATGCATTCCACTCTCAGACTTCCAAAACCCCAGAGTGGCTGCCAAACTGTAACTAGAGAGCCTCCTGGTATTGTCCCCACTGTGGCAATTTCTAGTCCATCAGCATCGCTTGGGGAGAGTAGCTGCAACCCTAAACTTCTGGCTTTGTCAATGCCACCTAATCTAAGGAAACAATTTGGAAAACTAATCATGAAAAACGAAATGCTTTTTATTCCTCTTAAAAGTGGGCGAAATTGGAAGTCCCCCTCCCATAATGAGAATATGAATCTTAATAGGTCCAAGCAATATCCTAGATTTTTATAGTCTTTCAAGGATATGTGTATATGTACACATATGGTGTGAATCACAATATAGTTTAAAGACAGATATTCAAATCCTAGTACTTTCTCCCTTACCCTTGGCTCGCTCTTATAGATTTCAAAAGGCCATTTGGGTGGGAGAATGTTCTGCTTATATGTACAATACCAATGCAAATCATTATCGTTGCTCTGTTAGATAAGAGCATCATCTAACAATAGTGTGTACAACTTAACATGCAACACAATTTTGTTCAGCTGCTACTTTTTTCAGAATAAAATTCTATAATTGAGCATGTCACCTTTCTTGTTATTTTTACTTAAAGTATGTTATAAATTAGCAAAATTTAAATCTATGTTTGGCAATGGAAGGCAAAATGGGATCCAAAATTTGGAACAAATCATCAAGAATATTTTATAGGTCAATAAAGATTTAATATTTAGATCTCTGTGTTTGCAGGTAATAGTCAACAATCCCATTGTTAAGTTTATACCTAGGGATTTATAACCATCAAAATTGTGGGTACTCCTAATTTTTGTAGAGGCACACAATGTGAAAATCAGAATGTGCTCAGATTCTTCAATTCCAAATCTGTAAGGATCCTTGAGAAGTGGAAAACACTTCATAGTAGGAAAAGTTTTGCATCGTTTTGATATTTCACATTTGATTCTTACAAATCTGTCCCTTTGAATCAGGACAGGTTTATTATTTCCACCTAAAAAATGAGAAGCAAATTAAACTCTGACCTGCAGAACTGAGATATAGAGGGCCACCCACGTGTGTGGATCTAGTGGTGATGTCTGGCCCTCAGCATTTGGTTCAAGTCTTGACTCTGGAACTTAATAACAGTGTAACCTCAGGCAGAAAATATCACCAACCTGAGCCTCTGCTTCAAAGCTATACTTTGAAGTATAGCTGATAACTCCTTCCTCCCAGCATTATGGGGAGAATCAAAGTGGATAATCCTTATAAAGGCATTTTTTAAATTGTAAAATACATTATAAATAAGTTAGACATTTTTCCCTGGTGTCTATTACATTAGAACCTTATTACCCCAAAGGAGAATGTGTGAAAAGACAATTTTAGTTTGTGACCCGCTTCACATGAAGGTTTATTGGGGGCTTGAGAAACACAGGGGGAGTAGAGAGTGGCCCCCCCATTCCATCGCATCACTCATTTACCTTTCTGCTCTTGCCAGAGATCACCTGCAGCTTATCCCCCATGCTTACTAGGACTCAAGTCTGACTTCACGATCTTTACCTACTTTATCTTTAAGGAAAGACGTGACAGTGGGTTTAAGAAGTCAAGCAAACATATCCAGAAAAGAAGAGCACTCTTGCATTAATTTAATTGCTGTCTCCTCTGAAATGAAGATTTCAAAAGAAGTTTTCATCCTACCCCAATGCTTTGTCAAATTTCGCAGTTTCTTAGACTTCATTTTTCTATAAGTATCTGGAATTCTAACTGATATATTTCTAGAGCTTAAGGTTTAGTTTTCTGTCTGACTTCCATATTAGTAATCCTCTATTTTATCAGTGTTTCAGGCTTACACCTTGTCATTGCCTTATGTGTTAAACATGACTGGGAGATGCTGAAACCAAATGACTCATGATCTGAGTTCTGTTTTTCAGTTCCCAAGGGGTCCCAGCATGTTACTTCAAAATCAAAAACATCACCAAGTCCAGAAGCGTTATACACTACACCTGGTAAATGTTTTATTTTATGTTTAAGCCAAATGTGTTCTACTATAACACTCTGCTGCAATGAAACATGAGAATTGATAGATGTGAGGTCAATATTTCACTTATGTTCAAGTACCATGTTGTATAATATGTGGTATGATTATTTCAAAGGTTCATAAGAATTGTATTGCTCATGTAGTAAAGCCATTATTACAGTCAAAACGCATAGAATTATGCCAAGGGTAGAATATCTTTCTTAGGACTAAAGTTCTCTTATTTCTCTGACTTACAAAAAAATAACCTGATGATTTTAACTATGCTATGCTCAAATGCTTCACCAGACAAGATATAGAGAATTTGGTTTTTTCCCACAAAAATGTTAACATGGTGTTTCACAAATACAAGGCAATGATGTTTAACTGTTTAGTTTCATAAATTTTACTATATCCAACATTGAGTTATTTTCCTGTCAAATTCTATTTTACAAGGTTATGAAACACTAGCTTGAGTTAAGATATTTGTTTCATCAAAAAAAATGATTTCTTTAGTCAAAAATATTTTTTGCCTATCATCTGAGAAAGCCTATTTTTCACTTTTTGGGAGAGTAATCTAATATTTGTGGGAACATTCATGGTGGTGACTGCAAGGACCCAGACATTTTGTAAGACTTACCACAACTGCTATTTACATAGAGTCCTCAAATGACCTTAGAATGACACTGTTAGCTGAACAATTCTCTCATAAACCAAGCCAAGCTCATTTTTGACTAGAGAATCTGGGAAATAATACAAGTTTTTTTTCTCTTTCCTTTTAAAGGTACAATTATTATAAATTCTTAGACGCTTCTAAAAGCGTATAGAACATTCCCAGAACTAAAGGATTTCTAAGCTATAGTTTGAAATGATTGCATTTTGGAAGCCTGAATTCACTTGCTATACTGTTTTCCAGATTGTGTAAGTGGAAAGTATACTGCTGCTGTGATATAATAGTCAGGTGGTTTTGGTGGTGGTGGGCTAAAGAGAGAAGCTCCTTTTCCCTGAAATCTAGAATTTAAATTTGTGCCACTAAACACAACAGTTAATATTATAAAACATAAAGTAAGAAAAAGCTGACCTTGCCACTCGTAAAAGGTCAAATTATTTTTAATTGTGGGAAAAAAAATAACAGAAATTGAGTTGTTAGATAACAACAGTAGATTTGAGTGATTTTCTTTTAATTTCCCATTTCATTATATGTAGTATCAATGTATCTAATAGTTACGTTTTTTTCTTCTTTTTTAACATTCACTGTTTGCCTTAATTCCACCAATACCTTGTTTTTCACTGAAACTCTAACCCCTAAGCTTGAACACTAGCA